CAAGTATATCGGATTAAGCAAACTCTTCGGGAACAGGGTGAATCAAGTAACCTATTGCACACCTAGAGTCCCTGCTCCAGTACTCGAATTGATTATTGACTGCTTTATGTGGTAGTTAGGTTTTATTTATTATTATTGCACAGGTTCGGCACCTGTCACAAGCTTTTTTCGGAGTCATCAACAAGGCAACTATAAAAATATAACTAATGTCAAACTTACCAAAATATGTAACTACCAAATTCAGGGAAGGCAACAAGTGCTATACTCACTGTAGGTTTCCTCCTATTTCTTTACAGTAACTTGAGGACTCTCATAATCTGCAACAGTTGATCAAATAAAAAGAACCACATTAGAGAAATAAAAAGTGGTTTTGCAACACTAAGAGTTTTCACATTTGAATTATGTCATAGGGATAGCTAATTAACAACATATAACTTCCAAATTCTCAACCGCATAAAGAATGCAATCAACATCTTTGGTTGGAAACTAAACTCAGAGTCGACAAAAAAGGAGAAAGAAAAATGTGGAACAATTGCCCCAATATCCCAAATGAAGTTTTAAGAAATTCAAATTAAATATCTCCTAGAAATAAAATACTTAAAAAGATCAGCAACTGACCACAAAAACAGAGCATGTTTACATGGTACATATCCTTGAAACTAAAGAGAAATTTTTAGATGAAAAACAGAAGAAAACCAATCGCATAGGAAGCTTGAATATGCCTTCCTTTACCATTTTCAACATGCATGCATAACTAGTGTGATCCACAAATAAAAGACTCAAAAATTCAGAAAACCATATTGACTACTATCATAGACGTGCTTAAACTATCATGATCAATCTGTATGAGTCAAATAATAATTCATATATAGGGATGTCAAAAATGTCCATTCAACTCCTTGCATGCCCACGACTACAAACTATACTAAGACCTAACAAAGTTATAGTGAGTGTGTTTGGATAGGAGATTATTTGAAATAATTATTGTAGCACATTTTGTGATATGATGTATGTGAAATAAAAAGGTGATTAGAAAGATAAAAAGATGTGTTGAAAATTATATTTGTGATGCAAGCAAATAATTTTTCTAAATCATGGTTTTCCATTCATTTCATACAGCAATTTTAACGACTGCAAGGATTGGCTTCAAAACATTGGAATAGTTTAAATGTATATTAGATTCATGTCAATTATACAAGCACTCCAAATCCCTTTTTCAAGAACAATATGCTACCTACTAGCCTTGGGTGCTATTCTTTTGGTTGTTAATTATGCCCTTTGATTTCAAAAAAGGCAAAGTTATATTCTTAAAAGTTAAAAGTTAATCAAAATGCCAAACTTTATTCGTACAATCCTTCAACAAAACACTACAATATCCATGATTTTAGTGCTGAAAGTGCAAAGAGTACTTTCAGTAAACTATCACTCTTAGCATTCAATAGAGATAATCCATTTTTCACATTATATCATATGATAAAATATTTTGACCAAACTTAATAATTTAACCTTTTTTTTTTCATTCCAATGCCAAAATATATCTATAAAATCTATTTTGCAAACTATAGATCCACTTTTGTTGAATAATGTAATGCATATGAACCTATATTTAATTCACTTTCAATAATTTGATTCATCATATCTATAGTATAATAAAACAATGTTCAGTTCAGGTTTTAGTTATTAAATTGACTATTCGAACCTTCCACCAAGTGGACTATCTATCTTTCATCACTTAGACATTTTGTATTTTTTAATTATTTTTTGCATCTTTTGGTAACAATTAATTCCCTTCATTTTTTACTTCCATATTTATGGTATGGTTTCTTATTTATAGTCAATTTTAATAAATCTATTAATGACATACCTTATATAAATTTGTATTAATTGTACCTTCTTTATTTTTTTAATCAATTCATATCTTTCATTTTCTAATCATTTTCTATCACGTTTTTTATTCCTAATATTGGTTTATTTATTATACTATTACTAAAATTTAGATAAAGTATGTCACGTTAGATAATTTTTCCCTACACCTTCAACTTTAGAAGATTCATATACATACATATAAACATACACACACACACACACACAAAATGTATATATATTAATTAGTTGTTTACTTTCTGTTCTCGTAAGTTGTTGAGTTAGTTGTATTTTGTTAAATGAAAATTTTATCTTTTTCCCAGGTGAAAAAAAATTGTGTTTGTTTATATTTCTTCGTGGATTTTATTCTTTATCTGTTTTCAATAGCAAAAAATTACAATTCTTTTTTACTCTCTTATTTGTAGTAAATTTTAAAAGTCTATTAATTGCCTATTTTATATACATTTTAAATATTTTTTATGCCTTAATTTATTTTTTGTGAATAATTTCCATTTAATTCTCTATAATCACACTCTCTATCCCTATTATTGGATTAATACCTTTTTCCTATTAAAATTTGGAACAACTTTTCTCCAATTTTTCGATACTTTCTTATTTATAGTAAATTTTTATTTATTAATTTCCTATTATACATGGTTACATATATTATTTATTACCATTACTAAAATATGGACAAAATTTTGTTTAATTTTTTTTTCATTCTATACTTCTTTTCTTTTAGTGAATTTCAATCTATTAATTTCCTACTTTATATACATTTACACTGTTTATATCTTTCTTATTTTTTTATTAATCGATGCACAATATTTTTTCTTAATTTTATTCATTTACAATCACTCTATCTATGTTTTTATACTTGATTATTTATTTGAATTTCTGAAGTTTTTATATTTTTTATTTTTTTAATGAATATATGTTAAACAATTTTAGCATATTACTCATACAAGTCCATTTAAATTTTTTTTAAAAAAAGTTTCAATTAAATTGTATAAATAGTCATTCTTTTCTAAAATATTCTATTAATTTTTATTCTCTCTCCATTCAAATTCAATTTAGGCTAAAATCGTATTCATAAAAACACAGGGTTGTAAAAGTTCTCTCAAATTATTTTTCTTACTTTTTAATAATTTGAGCAACTAATAAGTTCATCATCTATTAGTTTGATTTAAAATTCTTTTTGATCGTAAACAAATCAAATATTTAACTGCACTTATTTCCTAATATATTTCCTTCACTCATATGTCAACTTCCCATCATTAATTAGGGTAAACATAACTAAATCATGGGATAAGATTCAATTGAAACTAATTATTTAGTTGTTATAAATTAACCATTTTTAATATATTTAATTTTAATGTTTGTCTTACAATTAGCATATTACATTTTATAAAATAGCATTTTAAGCTATTTTATAACAATTTTTGTTCAAAAAAATAAAATTTATAGAACATAAAAAAATGTCAGTACAAATGCACGGGAATGACACTAGTTACAAATATGAATGCTAAATTTCTTAAATTCATACATCAAGTTTCGAATAAAATAGCATTAACCAATAGCGAAAATTTAAAATTGGTTCACATCAACCAATTCCTAATTGTTTGCTTTAACGTCAAGGGCCATTTCATTTGGTTTAACATTTTAACGCCCTGAACGGGATAAAATCACCTAACAAGGCTCCACCTTCTAAAGTCAACTATCCAAAATCAACCAACAAGGCTCTGCATTAAAAGGTATTGGTGATCCCAAAAATGAATGAATGCTATTGTTAATCCCAACAAGGCTCCACTTTTGTACTATGGAAACGCTATTGGTGATCCCAAAAAATGGATGAACAAAAAATGCATTAAAAGATAAACTTCTTTTGATTTGTATAGATAACTGATGTAGACCTTAATAGGCCCTTTTAGCATTCTTGGATCTGGGTCTTAGGTTGGAGTTCAGCCTTTTCAAACATTGGCCTGATAAGTTAACTATTTGTATGCCAAACAATAGATATAAATCAAAGGTTTAATCTTTTATATACTGATAGTGTATACACCATTACCATCACCATTGGATGCTTAACAATTCATCTTAATTTAGATTTGAATTTTGAATTTTATTCATGTGTCATCATCCAACCATGAAAATGTATACATTGTTAGTGCATATAAGTTTTACTCTAAATCAAATGACAAAAAATACTTGACTTTCTAACATTATATAACTATCATAATTTAGTAATGAGTAAATCTTGTATACACTGACAGTGTATACACTATCATGATTAGATAAATGTAACATAAGTGATGTAGACACCAAAGTTTTCTCAATTTCAAGTTTACTATTTTTATTTTTATTTTTCATTTATGAATTGCTTAAGTAATCTTTTTAATTTTATTTTGTAGGCTTGAGCAAAAAGAAAAAGAAAGAGAATAAAAGGAAGAGAAAATGGGATTTCAAAATTTTAAAAAAAATAGTAGAGGTTTCTTTGTTTCAAACCTGATAAAAATTCCAACCAAAAATCCAATCTTTAATCTACCCAAAACCCAACCAAAAATCCCCCCAAAATCCAAACAAAACTCAAACGAAAGCCCATGTAAAAGAAGCAAAAGCCTGGAAAGTACGCTTGAAGAAACAAGGCCCATCAGCCCATTTCTCTTTTCTTGAAGAAAAAAAGGGGCTCCTCACACGTGCACGAAGCCAAAGCAAAATGCAGCCAATTGGAATTTGGACAATTTGGATTCGCTTTTGCTTGCTCTTTTCTTTCTCCCCAAGCTTGGTGAGTATTAGGACAGCTCAGTGCCCAAAATTTTGTCCAAAAAACAACTCAACAAATAGATCAAAGGGATCAAAACAAGCCACATAAACCCACTTTCAATCCAAACCTTTATTCTTAAGTTTTAGGAATTTTATTCCATTTAAATAGGTAGTAATGCAGCTTTTAGGGAAGGGGGGGGAGAGGAAAACGAGTTAGGGAGCAGCCGCATAGGATCTAGGGGTGTGAGAGAGAGAAAAAGCAAGAGAGAAAGAAAAACTTTTCTGCAAAAAATCTAGAAAAACAGCTGGTGAACTGGCTCTGTTCTAGGGAATTTTTCTCCCTTGTCATTGGTCCATTTGAAGTAATTCTTTTTTATTCACCTTCTAGGGATATAGATGAACAATTTTTGTGTTGAAACTTTTCACTGATAACCATTAAAACCCCTCAAATCGAAACCCGAAACCTTTGCCAGGAAATTTTTTCTGCACAATAGCGAACAGGGTTGGCGAACTAGCCCTATTCTTCATCATTTTTCGATCTCGTCTGAACTTGTTTTGAGGAGATTTCTTTTGCTGCTCCATCTATGATCATAGAGGTGCAAATCTTCAGTTGAGAGTTTTCAGAAAAAACATCTCCAAATCCTTCGAATCAAGGCTTGAAGTTGCAGCTTCATCAACACTTGAATCTCCACGATAGGAGATTGTTTGCTTCGTTTCAGGAATTTGAGTGTGTTTTCTTGAGACAACCTGCATTTATTTGAGTTTGCAAGTATTAGTAGGTAACTATAGCCTCTTCTCTTGGTTGATCTAATGCTTTACATAAAGCTTTTAAACCATCATATGAGTTTTTGTGGGCATAAATCCTAGATCTAATTTTTCTCATGATTTATGGTGTTTAAATGAATCCATAAAGCTGTAGGGAACATGTTTATGTTAAGATCTAGCCTTTGATACTGGTGAAAACATCCTCCGGCGAAGTTCCGGCCACTTTGGCCAGAATTTTTCTAGTTTCTAACGAGTCGTGTTCTTGACCCACCGGAAACTTTATCAGTTATTTTTCTTTTATTTTGTTTCCTTTTTTCTTGATTTTGTTTGTCATGTTTTGATCTTTTAGGCCACTTGGGTTGTTATTAATTTGTTGTGGTGGGTTGAGAATTGGGTCAGAAAATTGTTTTATGTTGGATTTGTAGTTGAAACTATTGGGTTTACCTTTGTTATTTACACATGGGTTTGTGTTTGATTTTGTTTGGGGTCTATGTGTCTTTATATTGGATTTTTGTTAGTTTTGTTTGAATCAAGACACAAAGGCCCAAGTCTATAGTCTGATTAAATGGAGTGATTTTGTGAATTGGGTTAAAAATTTTGTATTTTCTTTTTCTTATTTTTATCTTTATTGGTTAAATTTTAAACATTTTATGCGTTTAATGGTGCTGGAAATCAGCTGAGCTCATGGGATGTTATTTGCTGAATTGAGTCTATGAAAAATATATTTGTAATTTGGCCCCTAAATTTTTGCATAATTACACTAAGGCCCAAAATTGTGAAAAATGGATATACTTCTTCCCTTTAAAAGTCTTGATTTCTTTTCATATGTTTTATGCATGTTTTGAGTAAATTAATTCTGATCTTTAGAGTATAACTGGGGCTTGAAATAAAATTTGTTGAATTTAGATTACCTAATTATATAATTTTAGAAATTTATATAAGAAACGGGTTGATGTGTTTTTTGTTTTTTGGGTTTGTGACATGGGTTTTGAAACTCAAGCCCAGTTTCTTTGTTAGTTTGAGATAGTAGAATGACATGGGTAGGTTTTCTTTTTAATAGGGCACTTCAGCTTTTTTTCATTGGGCCAAAGTGGTTCGGCCTAAAACTAAAAAAAAAAAAAGAAGAAGAAGAAGAAAAGGCCAAAATTTTTTTGTTATGTAATCTTTTGAAATTAGAAACAAATTTTGCAATTTGATCCCTAATCTTTTGAGTAATTTTATTGTGGTCCTAGAATTTTGAATTTCTTTCACTTATGTCCTTAATTTAATTGCATTTTTGTTCCTGGACTTTATTTTTACTTAATTTTGACCCTTAATCTTTTTAAAAATTATAATTTGATCCCAAAATTTTCTAATTTTTTTTCAATTTAGTCCTTGTTAGTTTTTTATTTCTCAATTACAATCGTTTCTCTTCTTTAATTACTAATTATGCTTCATTTAAATGTATTTAATTTGTAACTTTTGGTTGCTTTATGTTTATTTACATTTTTTCACAATAATAAGGGGAGTTTAGCATATGTTTATATTTTCTTTTTAAAATTATCAATTAAATTGGTGCATTGACCCGTTTGTTGATTTTAGAAAAGCAAACAACTCTCCTTTCCCCTTACTTAGTCGGTACTTCAAAAGGGAGCTACCCCTATTATCTTTTAAATTCCTTTTATGTTCTCCTATGTGCCCCTACATGTTTATATGTTTTATGTGTTTTTATTTTATTTGTTTATTTTAACATTTCATTCATTCTATGTTTGTTTAATTTAAATTTTATGATTATTTGGAGGTATTTAAATGCTCACATTGTAATAGATAGGTTACACCCTTTTGTGCAAAAATTGTAATTAGATAGGCAATGTAATAGATAGATTTTATTTTGCAAAAAATATAATTAGTTAGATGAATATAACAGATAGGTTAGATAGGGTTATTATCTTATATTTCTCCTTTTAAATTGTTATTATGGCTCCCAATGTAATAATTAGGTCTTATGTGTTTGTGTGTTTAAGTGTTTGTGTGTTTTATTCGCTTTCTTTAAGATTTTGCATTTAGATATTATACCTATGTGCTATGTGCTATGTGCTGTACATGCTCTATGTGCTTTATATGTTTGTTTATTTTAATTAAACTCTATATGCTTATTTATTTATAATTAGTGCATGATATCACTATATTAGTCCAATGCTAATTGTGGCTTTTCTTCTCGATTTCTCACTAGTCCAATGTTAGTGAGAACTTGTAGAAATTGACCAGTCCAATGCTAGACTCTTAGACCAAATACTCGCTAGATTCATACTTTGTATGACATTTATTGCATTTCATATATTTTTTTCCATTTCAGGTTATTTCTATTTGCATGATGTATTTTTTATTCCCTTATTCCTATGTGTGCAAATTATATCATTTAGACTTACATTTAGATAATTAGAAAATAGGTTAGTCCATTTACTTATTTAAATTAGAAAAGTCACCTTCGAATATGAAAAATAAACGAGTATGACTTTTTAACCTTATCATGTTATTACTCCTCTATAAGAAGAAAAATTATTTCACGAATTTTAGTTTTTCGTACCCATTATGTTGCATTCTCCTCTAAGTCATGTAAATTCATCTATATATCATAATTTTCTTTTCCGAGTCTCAATTTTTTTTTTTTTTTTTTTTGCATATTCATGACCTCTTCAAGGGTTCATTCGTGAGTTTTACAATTAATGTGATTTGTACCAATTAAATTTTGAAAAGACATTTCATCCCTCTCGATGCCCCTCTAGGTTTAGTTTTTGTATCCATACAGGAAACATCCAAGTGTGATAAGTATAAGAGTTATTTTAGGAAAATCTTTGACTAAATCTCGCAACTAATCTTGGTTAGAATGAAAGGTGCCTTAAGTTTGAACCTATCAAATATTTGCCCATACCGACTATATTTGGGTAGGGTTTGGATTTAATTTCTCAAATCCAAACCCTACCCAGACTTATACCCTGTGAGAGAGTCGTGGGTCTAGGTAGAGTCTGATTTTCTAGAATCCATATCCAAATCCAGACTCATACCAGATCTTACCCAAATCCATATATATTTAATTAAATAATATATATTAGTAAATTTATAAAATAATCTAATATTTTGTGGCTATTGAATCAAATACAGTAAGATTTTATGACATCAGAATCTACATTTAGTATTGGTGGTTGGGTGATTGTGAGACTCGTGCCAAATTGTTTCTAGATCTGTTTGAAGCATTAGTGACTACTGATGATTGGATTGAATCAAAGAAAAAATGGATAAGTATTTGTAAATCTTCTTATTCTATTATTTATTTGCCACCGGTCCTTAGTCAAATGGCTTTTATCTCATTCACTATTTTAGTATTGGATTGTGAGACATCTACCAACATTGAGATTTAAATAAGAAAAAGAGGTACAAAATTACATTTTTTTAATAAAATTAAATATTTATATATGTTATGGTTGTTTTCTTTTTCAAAAACTAATCCTAGTTGTCATTATAATTGGTACAAACTTTTCAATAAAAGGAGAAAAGTTAAAGGCAAACAAATGATATATTGGATATGGATGCAGTTGAATCTTTGAAAATATATAGAAGTAGTTAATAATAATTCTTTCTTTGAGTTCACAATATTGTATTCAACTTGTCGAATGTTAACTTTATTATTTGAAAACAAAAATTGGATGGTATTTATATTATTTATGAACTCTATATATTTTAAATATATTTTTATTGTAGTATGTTCAAAAAATACCCATTGATACCCATTGGATACCCAAATCCATAAAGGTTTCGGTATGGACTTACTTTTTCAGATCCAAAAGAATCTAGATTTGGGTCAGAGTTTAACTAAATTAAATGGGTCTAGATTTGAATCAAATAGATCCAAATCAGAGTCTACCATTGACATACCTAACTATCAATGTATAGAAAACTAATTCTTTAATAATATGGAAGCGTTAATATTGCCACATTATATATCAAAAACCTGATATTAATTGAACAATGTTACGAGGCATCATCATTACTGATCAATACCAGATTAGTTAGTAGAAGGGATACTAGAGAGGTGATCTTGGTATTTTTTTTTAGGGCATTGAATGAATGACAACTATACAAAATTTGAATTTGAAATTCAACTTTTGCATACATGTCATGAATCAAATGGTGATAGTGTATACACTGTCAGTATATTTAAGATTTACTCTTTTTTTATTCAAATTTAAAGTCTTCTCTTTTTTTTTTCCCTTTCCCCATGAAAAATTTGCTATTCTAATCAGTCTTAACAACCTCTAGAATATTTCAGATGTAAACTATCCATATCAAGCACACATATATCCTTGGCTTCATCCCCATAAAAGATGCCGAAAAGCAACATTCAGATGAAAAAAAATACAGTTGACAATATAATAAGAAATAAAGAATAAAAATACAGGACCTAAAATTAATAAAATATGCAAATAGTTAAAGAACCAAATAAATCACTTGTTGACCCAAAAATGATGGAAGGTTCCTGGTTAATAAACTGGTCTCACTGGTTTGTTTGTGTGGTAAATCACTGAATTCACCCCAATCAATAATGCAAAATCGAAATGTAATGAGACTGTCCTGACTGAGAATTTTGATTGTTCATTTGGAATTTGGTTATTGACTGGTTTGTGTAGTGCACCTCAATCAATAAGTCACCCTAGTTCTACTCCTACACTTATTTTAATATATTTCTATTTCTACTCTAATCTACTTTAGGAGAGGTCTAATTGGGCTAATGAAAGAAACAATAGAGATTGAACCATTACTTTTGCTACTACTTCTATTTTAACCTATTTTAATGCAAAATTCACCTGAATCAATAAAAAAAATGATGAGAATTGAATCATCATCAGGCTAGAATTGAATCATCATCATCATCATCATCATCATCAGCTCATTTTTAATTCACTTGGGGGTTAGTTAATTCTTAGTAGCAGGGTGGTTGTGTGAGTTCTAGTCCCACATCGGGGAAGGGGTTGGGGTTTGCTGGGTAGATAAGTCTCCTGGGGCTGCTCCAAGAGTTGCCGGCTTTTGGAGTATGCTCTGGGGTTTAGGTTTGTTGAGTCAGTAAGAGTCAATTGACTTCTTGACAGAAAAAAAAAAAAATCAGGCTAGATGTCCGGCTAATCCTATAGAGGGACATCTGATCATACGGACGGGTGCACTGCACAGGCGCGTGGATTTGAGGAAGCCGTACCCTTCGAGGCAAGACCAAAAGAATTCTCTCTTGCATGACGGTTGTCCATTTTTATCATTTTCGGCCATGCAGCAAAATAAACAAAATCACGCCTCACTTCTCCCTTCTCCGTCAATTTCTCTCTCGCTCTCAGCTCCCTCTCCCCACACCCAACACATACTTCACTCCATCTCCCCTTCCAACTCCTCACCCTTTTGGCCCTCTCTCTCTCTGTGATGTACTACTATTTGTCTTTCCCCCCCTCCAGCAACAGATAAACAAGAATAGAAAACTATACTTTTTTCTTTTTTGACAAAATAAACCATTTGCTCTTGTGTTTGGGGTAGGTGTCAAAGCGCCCGCCGTCTTCTGCGCAGCAACTTCTGGCTCCTCTCTCACTCTCTAATACTTTGGGCCTTCTTCTGTCTCCGGCGGGCATAGTAAGTCAATCGATGTCTCCAGAGCATTATCTTTTTCTTATACTTTTTGTTTTGGGTTAATTAGGTTGGGACCGAATGCCCTCAAGTTTAAATTAAATGTATTTGTTCTTAGATTGGATGCTAGTTCTGATTATTTTTGTTACCCTTAAAGAATTTTCATTACGGTTGAAAGGCTTTCTTTTTCACCCGCATAGATCATGGAGCACCAAAAGCCCGTGATTCCTGGCCAACCTGCAAAAAGAGGGAAGACCAGCAACGAGCAGATAAAATCCATGGTCGCCGGTGATTTTGAAAGCGAAGAACAAAAGAAGATACGCAATTTCATCGAGCAGTTGAGGAACTTGGACGTTTCCTTCTATGCGTTCCGGAGGGACAACTTTTTGAAGAGCCCCTATTCCTTGGTGCTGCCACTTCCCGATCAAATTGTCCGGTACGAAAATATGGGGTAAATTCTTTTTTCAATTCCTTAAAATTGTATTCCTTTAGTATATTAATGATTAGCACCATTTTTTTATTATAAAAAAATTGTCACCTGTGTTTTGTGTTTTGGGTTAGGAATCCTGTTGAGGGGATAGACTTGGGAAAGGTGAAGCATTTCAGCCATGATAAGATGATCCAAATTACTAGTGACTTTTCCGAAAACAACTACATACGGAAGTCTACCTTTGGCCGACTGTTCAGAGGCAAGATTGATGAAGGTTCCGGAATGCCACCGCGGGAGGTGATTGTCAAAAGATGGGACTTTTTAATTCCTTTCAGTCCTACTTACGGCAATTATCCAGTCTATTATGCTGTAAGTGAGATGATACAATGTGTCTAATTATTGAGCTGCAGTTGATAGGATTTGGCCAGCTACAGTTGCAGTTTTGGTGCAGTTGTGTGGTTATTCTATAATACACATAATGTGGTGTATGCTAATATTATTTTGTTTTAGGTGTAAATTTTATTCGGGGAAACCAACTCAGAATATGAATATAATCTCGCCTGTAAGCATGCACCAATATTCGAGAAAAACATAATAACCTTACCAATTGCACCTGCCCCAGAGCTCTAGTGGATATTGATGAAACTTGGTCGGTATATTTGTAAAAATGTGGATGATTGGGTTTGGTTTTGTGTTGTTGTAGCGCCAGCTTGAGATTCTGCTGAATCCGCATGTTGCCTCGCATCCTAGGATGGCAAAGTTGATCGGATACTGTTGTGACAAGATGTTTGCTCTTGTATTTGATGTGAACCTAAATCTAACTGTCAAGGATCTCATCCCTCGTGGTACTCAACCTACACTCTAATAATAAATAATATTCATACATTTGTTTCTGCATGCGAGTGAGTATTTGTTTATTCTTTACTTCTTCCTGTTTCTGTTAGATAACTTCACTTGGAGCCCACGGATGAAGGTGGCAAGGCAAGTTGCTGAAACCTTAAGGTTCTTTCATGGCAAACAAATTGCTTTATGCAACTTTACTGCTCCCAGCATAAGTGTTGATGAGGTTGGAATTTCTTTTACCTCGTACTGCTGTTTATACTGGCATGTCCTCATGTGACGCACTAGTAGTAATAATAGTTGGCATAACAATTTCAACTGTTTGTTTTTTAACATTCAATGCAGGATTATAACATACAACTGTTTGAGTTTGATCGTGCTGCAAATCTTGCATCGGATAATTTTCCAGTACTAAAAACAATTGTGGGAGGAGCATACAACTACTATTCCCCAGAATATCTGACATGTGAGATTCTGTACTTGCAAATTTTACCATTTTATTGTATATTTAAAATTTTTAATTACAATCTTTTGTCAAGATTATAAAGATGGAGATGTGTTGCTTCTGGAAGTGCATATTTTTTTTCTATCTGAAGTTCTGCTTTTTCAAGTATGGATGTATGTTTGTATTCTCAGAGAAGTTATTTGTTTCACACTTTGCAGCAGTGTTAGAGTTTCGCAGAGAATGGTTTTTCACATCAGACGTGTATGCTTTTGGGCTCTTGCTTTTGGAGTTGACATTAGCAAAATGTGCAGTGGAGGAAAGACCTGTGAATTTTGTCGAATGGGCCAAGATAGCCTTTGCAAAAAATGAGAGATATGATCGTTTTAAAATGACCATTGCAGTTCCTCAGTTGTTGATCTTTGACCTGGCAATGAAGTGCGTGCAAGAAGACCCTAAAATGCGACCACATATGGATGAAATTGTCATGGAATTGGATAAATTGTCTCAGTTTAAAACAGAGAACAGAGGGTTGTTAGGGTAGAGTTCAGTTAAATGTCCTGATAGTTCTATATAAATATTTTACTTGAGAATGGCACTGAATTTTCTTGTATTGAGTTGCTGTCAAGGGTAAGTAACTTCACATTTTGCTATCACCATTATCAATTAGCATTTCTGTTGTTGTTGTTGGTGATGCAACAACTTTTATGGTGCAGTTATCTGTAAAATGCCGTACACGCGTTTTTCTTAAATTTGCTTGCTAACAGTTTTTTTTTTTTCCAATCTGGGTGAGCCATCTTAAAGATCACTACAATTTTGGACAAGTAGTTGTGTTTTTGCCTTTTTTAATGGAATTTTTTTTCGCAACGGCACGTCTAGTCTAACCTAACCTAACCTACTCCTACTTCTACTCCTAAAGGGCGGGGGAAGCCTATTCTATGGGATAGCCTAATTGAGTCGGGGGAACCTGATAGGAACTGAATCACCATTAGACCAGACGGGTGCACCACGCACCCGTATGAATTTATAACAAATCTCTTATAGAGGCACATTGATGAGAGATAAGGTTTGAATTCTTGACCTTTCACACCACAATTAATGTGGTGGCCAATTAATGTGATGGAATTAACAGGTTGCACCTTGCACTTCAAAGCTGCAATTGAACCAGTTACAAACACTGCACATCAAAGCTGTAGTTGAACCAGATACAAACGCCACCAGCATCATGAACTAATAGGCACGGATCTCATCAACTGTAAGTGCAGGATATTGTTGAAATGCATGACCCCCAAAAGGTCTTCATTCAGTAGGCTCGCTACTAGCCAAGGCATTGCATCATAAATATAAATAAAATGATCTTCATGATGAATGCGTCCGAACATTAGCTAAACATTCTGCCATTCACTTGGATTCAAGGAAGATGAGCCTCTTTTTTTTTTTTTGGTTCCCAACAAAGGTGGAGTGGGATTTAAGAAGCGGGGAGGGGAAAGGGAGATTTGAACTCACTCAGCCTTAGAAGATGTGCTTGATCGATGCTTGCTGCAAATATGCAAGTAGGTAACTCATGAGTTCAGATGCCACCTTGATAAATAAAGCCAAGGGCATACAAGCATCAACATTAAGAAAACTGCGATCAGTGGATATTCCGAGTTCTCGTCTTTAGCTTAATAGCTCAGCTAGAAGATTGGATGTTCTTCTCCATTTTATACTGAAACCTGTAATCCATGACCCTTCGCTATTTGCTATAAGTTCTCCAGATCCAGCTGCACCTAGACTGCCCTTTGAAATTCCATTCACTGTTCAATTTCCAGAAATTAGCCTTGGGAGGGGACTGTCTGTACTGAATTTCAGTTTTTCCATTCGATACTATTTGATTGTTCCTAAAAAGGACAAATCAGACACCAAAGAAACTATATTACAAAGGGGAGAAGGGTGATCTTTCCCGGCTCCAAAAATGCCTTATTTCTAAAGTTCCCTATGGACTAGCAGGCAAAAGAAAAAAAGTAGTGCCCCAGGAATGTTACAAAAGTGGGAGGAATTTGTTTGCAAGACAAGCTTTTTGGAACCACTCTTTAAAGCTTAGGGGAAGGTCACTGATAATTTCCGTAGGTAGATTCAACTTACTCCAGAGGTTCCTAGCTTGGAGACAAGTTCGAAGGAGATGATTCACATCCTCTTGAGACTTGCAGCAATAAAGTACCTCTCCTTAACTTCTTTTTTTTTTTTTTGAAAAGAAGAACTTTAGTTGGCATTCTGTTCAGGCTGGCAAGCCAGAGGAAAAGATTAATATGGTTTCTGGACGTAACATTCCACACCCAATCAGGATTACTTCATGAGGAGTTGGATAGACCCTCTGCAGAGTGAATCAGCTTATGAGCAAATTGTGAAGTTAAGGATCATTTGAAGAGGTATTCCATCTCAAAGAGTCATTGAGGTTCCCAAGAAAACTAAAAAGTGAATTAAATCTTCTACACTGTTACATCTTCATAAGCATGAGAATTAGTAGCCCTTGCTGCATATTCAGCTAATCTGAACCAAATCAAATGAGCTTAAAGTTTCTAAGATAGCTCCTAAGTCCATCATCCATATTCTGAAAATCATCAGATGGATTCGGGATTTCCTTGATAGTGTTTGCACATTTTTCTAGAAAATAATGGACTTGAATCAAAGCTGAACGTCAAATTTCTTAAAAGAGCACAATAAACATCAAAAGTAATCACTGTAAATTACTCTTGAATTGCATGCTACCTGCTCAAGTTATTTACTTCTCATCTTCTGCATTATATTTATAGATATTCATAAATGAAGTAGTATAACTTCTCATCTTCGACACTAAGCTTTGAATCATTGCTTGGTGATATTTTGTAGTGGGTTAGGCCCTCAATTTCCAATGGATCAGTAATGTGTTAATACGTAAAATCACAGCTAATTAAACGACGAGGTTTGGACTAATTAAAGCTAAATTTACTAACAAATTTTATTGGCAGTTAATTTAGTACATGACACATTAATTGTTAATCATGTATATCAAGAAATTGATAATATAAAATAAAACACTCAAATTATTTTTATTGATTATATATACATTTTATAATTTCTTATGGTAACCTAGGATAATTAATATCTTTGGTATAACAAATGAAAATGTTTATTGAAAAGAAATTCTTTATGGCATTGTCATCAAAATTTCTATATGGGCCTTTTTAGCATCCTTGGATCTGCATCTTAGGTTGGAGCTCAGTTTTGCCAAAGATTGGCCTGATAAGTTTACTATTTGTTCGCCCAACAGTAGATATGAATCAAATGGCAAAAATATTCTTCGACCTGGTTGACGTTCTAGCATTATATAGCTATAATGATTTAGTAATGAGTAAATATTGTATACATTATCATAATTAGATAAATATCACATAATTGAAATTTACATTAGAAATTCAAATTCAACATATGTGACATTCATCCAAACATGACAATATATAAACTGTCAGTATATAGAAAATTATCCCACATCGGTTCTAGGAGGAGTTTGGGTTGGGTATTTAAGTCCCTGGGTTGGCTTCAAGAGTTGCCGGCTTTTGGAGTTCAATTTGGGATTAGATTTAAATTAATCAACAAAAGTCTGTTGCTGGAGTTGAAAGAAGACAACCAACTCTGGGATTGGGTTCTTGGCTGGTAGTATCCCACTTAGCAGCAGGGTCCGGCTTTTGAAGTTCAATCTGGGATTAGGTTTAAATTAATCAACAAAAGTCTACTATTGGAGTTGAAAGTATATAGAAAATTAATTTTTTACTAATATGAAAGTGTTAATAATGCCATATTATATATCAAAAACCTAATATTGAATAATGTTACCAGGCATCATCATTAACGATCAAAACCAGATTAGTTAGCGGTAGGGATATTAGATAGGTGACCATGAGTCTTTTGATTCGACTTTCAAGTGTTCTCTTTTTTTTTCTTTCCGTGAAAAACTTGCTACTCTAGTCAAACTTAACAAGCTCTGAAATATAATAAATGTAAATTATCCAACACTCTTACTCTAGCCATTCTTAACAACCTCTGGAATATTTTAGATGTAAACTATCCATATCAAGCACACATGTATCCTTAGCTTCATCTCCATAAACGATGACCGAAAAGCAACGTTCAGATCAAATATATATAAATATATATATATATATTGTTGACAATAGAATAAGAAACAAAGAATAAAAACACAAGACCTAAAATTAATAAAATATCCAATTAGTAAAAGAAGCGAGTAAACCACTTGTTGACCAAAAAATGATGGAAGGTTCCCGGTTAATATATAAACCAGTCTCACTGCTTTGTGTAGTGAATCACTGGATTCACCTCAATCAATAATGGAAAATCGAAACGTAATGAGACTTGTCTTGACTGAGAATTTTGAACGTTTATTTGGAAGTTGGATATTGAGTCACGAGCAGCATTTTTTTTTCGGAAGCCCAAAACCAGTGACACTTCACTTCTTAAGAAAACCCAATGGTGCCAAATATACAAGTGATCCAAATCGCCAATAACAAATGATTGTTTTCATCAGTCATGGTCATAGTCATAGTCATAGTCATAGTCTTTCATTCCATGATTGTTTTTGGGTTGTCAATTGGGTCTTTTAATTTCAGAAAAACTAGAAACTTATATTTATGTACACAACGGAGAACCACCCTATATCCAATTTTGTTGCTACGTCAATGAATAGGATTTGAGTTAAATCTACGAAATTTATCTAAACTTCCTAATTTTACTTTCATCAAAACCCAGACCCAGAATCTCATGAATGTGAAAAGAAGATTCAGATTTAGGTTAAGTATCCAACAGGTATACATGGATATTTTGGTAATGGCTAATTAAAATTAGATCTTAGAAATAATCAAATTATGGAATTTTAAAGATAACATAAATACAATCCAACTACCATTTTCAAATAAAAAAATTTTGGCACTTTTTGCAAAGGAACATGAAAAAAACACAGCGTCATTAGTAAATGGTGGAGTGTCACGAATTTAAGAATCGTTTTTTTTTTCTTCAATTAAGCGAAAGGAAAACTATTAGGTCGTCAATTCAACCAAGTCAATCAGCATCAAAGTTGAAAAACCATTACAAAAAAACAATGTTTTTAAACTCGGACCGGTCAGTGAACCGGAGAGGTGGCCGGTTCGAGGTTCGACCAGTCCGACCGGCCGGTTCAAAGGTTCACTGTTTTTTGTTTTTTTTTTATTTTTTTTTAGTGTTAAGTACTAAGCAGGTTTCATTCTACACTTGAACTTTACCAACATAACTTAATTTAAGTTATGATAATAATAAATTTTCTAAAAGTTATACATAAAACATGGAATGATAAATATAATTAAAATATCATAATTCACCATAAGTTTTCATAAATTCATTATAAACATAAATAGATACAATCCAAATGTTCACTAATTATCACAAATAAAAACACAAAAAATAAATAAATTAAATATTGAAATTCTTTTACAACCCTTAAAAAAATCCATAAAAGAGTTCAAGTTAAGACAAACTATTTGAATAGCAAACTTTTATCAGTGGCATGATAAGCAACCACACCACCTTCACAATTTCATCAACTTAAGCTGAAAAAGTTAAAATTTTATTATAAAAATATAAATATAATTGCTCAAACTAAAAAAAACTAAAAATTTTTGAAAAACAAATATACA